AACTCTGAACTAACTGCACTAGCAAACTTACAGAATCACGTCTGTCGAAACACGACGTCATTTTCCGACCCACAACATTCAGTCTGATATTTAACGCTTATGTTTCTCCATTCAAACCTCATTTAAATCTCCAGAAACAGAGAGTAAAGTTATACCGGCTGTCTGCAGCTCCGTTAGGGGGGCGACTGTTCATCTCTCGGCCGTTAACATCAGCTAAAGTTATCTAAAGGCCAGCATTGATCACATCTTTGTTAATTAGCTGATGTCGTTTCCCTCCTATGATCACAGAGTGTTTCTCCTCTTTATGAACACCATGGGATCCTTTACCCACCCTGACGTGAAGAGCCGGTGGGCTTCTGTGCTTTTAAATGCTTTGAGAGACTCCAGAATAGGGAGAGTTAGGGTTAGGGAGTATGAGATAAATATGTCAGGAAAACACAAATTTGGTAGCTTTTCTGCCAGTTTAAGTAAGGAGAGTAATTTTAGCCGTCTTTCACCTCTAGTTACATTCATGAGGAGCAGGAAAGCCAGAAATTCAGTCCCAAATATGGCGGCCACAACAGAAAAATCACCTGACTGAAACCCCAGGATAGTTTGAGTACATGTACTTCTCCCTAAGTAACATTTTACCAAGACTGTTTCTACTTCTACTCAAAGATAGAAGTGTTGTACCTTCTACTGCAGAGTTTGTAGGGGCAAGATTCTTACATAACACGCTTTGTAAAATTCAGTCTATAAAGAGTCAGCCTTCTTCTCATTGTTAAAATCAGGCAGTCTGAGCCTTATGAACCACATGCTGTAAAGGTTATTACAGAAAATGTGAAGAGTGCTGTGTTCCCATGACTACGCTCTGCGCGGCCAGGCGGGCAGTGTGGACGAGCTCTATAAGCAGCGCTGCAGTTTAATGGCAGCAAAAAATAAGCACAGCAGCCTACACCCAGTCGGCGGGCACGCATCTCTCTAACGTATCATTTGGAGTTGTAATTTAGGGCAGCAGCGCGCGAGAGTGAGCCAGAACCGACTGCAGACGTTTACTGATGAGCCAGAGGCGTTTATGTTAGTGAGTGACTGCAGCTCGGGATGAGTTAGTATTGGTTCAAGTTTATGAGTTCTAATAAACGAGTGTCTGTTAAACAAGGACGATAAGCTTTTCAGTAAATACTGTGACTAAGTGAATAATAATAATTTCATAACCGTTTGATTATTTCAGTCCTGAAACCATCCTTGAGAAAAGCACTGTGGATGGTGAGGCAGAATGTGGACACGTTTTAAACATCTAGGGGTTGAGAATCGTTTCTGTACAGGTGGATTATGTAGTTAAAACAGCCCAATAAGACCATCTTTTACAGCCCATCTGTCAAACACAAGGCCTGCAGGCCAGATCAGGCCTGCAACACAATCCTATCCGGCCCACAAAAGTGTTTTAGTTTTCTATTAATATTAGCCTGTTTCACAATGCACTGCACTACAGTCCCCAGCATGCACTGGGACAGCGGTTACACCTCAATTCTACACAATTCTACTTCAGTCACATCACCAAACACACTAGCTGTATTTCAGCTGCAGTTCAACCAATATACGCGTCAGCTCAGCAGCTCAGAAACTGAGCTCAAGTCTTAATGAACTTGCAGTAAAGAAAGGATGCCAGCAGTTCAAGCAGATAGGCAGGTTTAAAAGTCGTAGCTCTTGGGGACGTTTAAACTCATGTTATATTTTAAGGTCTGTTAGAAGTGCCTATATTTTACTGCTGAAGTTGTTGTGTATTTTGATTAAACAATGGCCAGTTTGGGTTTTAGCACAACAGTAATTAAAATGAGATAAAAACGTTTGTCTCCTCTGGTCTGGCCCACAGATTTGAGGAGGTTTTTTAATGTGGCCCCTTTAGTGGCTGAGTTTGACACCCCTGTTCTACATAAACATTTAAGTTTAAAAGTGAGAAAGAGCTACGAATTAGAGCAGAGGTTAAGGTCAATGTTAGGTTTAGGAGTGGGTTTAGGTTTAGAGTTAAGGTTAGGGTTTAGGAGTAGGTGTAGGTTTAGGGCTGAAGTTAGGGCTAGGTTTAGGAGTAGGTGTAGGTTTAGGGCTGAAGTTAGGGCTAGGTTTAGGAGTAGGTGTAGGTTTAGGGCTGAAGTTAGGGTTAGGTTTAGGAGTAGATGAAGGTTTAGGGCTGAAGTTAGGGTTAGGTTTAGAAGTAGGTGTAGGTTTAGGGCTGAAGTTAGGGCTAGGTTTAGGAGTAGGTGTAGGTTTAGGGCTGAAGTTAGGGTTAGGTTTAGGAGTAGGTGTAGGTTTAGGGCTGAAGTTAGGGTTAGGTTTAGGAGTAGATGTAGGCTTCGTGTTGAGGTTAGGGTTAGATTTAGGAGTAGGTTTAGGGTTGGGGTTGAAGGTAAGGTTAGGGTTAGGTTTAGGAGTAGGTGTAGGTTTAGTGTTGAAATTAGGGTTAGGGTTAGGTTTAGGAGTAGATGTAGGTTTAGGGCTGAAGTTAGGGTTAGGTTTAGGACTAGGTGAAGGTTTAGGGCTGAAGTTAGGGTTAGGTTTAGGAGTAGATGTAGGTTTAGGGCTGAAGTTAGGGTTAGGTTTAGGACTAGGTGAAGGTTTAGGGCTGAAGTTAGGGTTAGGTTTAGGAGTAGGTGAAGGTTTAGGGCTGAAGTTAGGGTTAGGTTTAGGACTAGGTGAAGGTTTAGGGCTGAAGTTAGGGTTAGGTTTAGGAGTAGGTGTAGGTTTCGTGTTGAGGATAAAGTTAAGATTAGGCTTAGGAGTAGGTGTAGGTTTAGGGCTGAAGTTAGGGTTAGGTTTAGGAGTAGATGTAGGTTTACTGTTGAAGATAAGTTTAGGGTTAGGTTTAGAAGTAGGTTTAGAGCTGAAGTTAAGGTTAGGCTTTGGTTTAGGAGTAGGTGTAGGTTATGGGCTGAAGTTAAGGTTAGGGTTAGATTCAGGAGTAGGGTTAGGTTTAGGGCTGAGGATAAGTTTAGGTTTAGAATTAGGTGTAGGTTTAGCACTGAAGTTAGGGCTAGGTTTAGGTGTAGGTTTAGGACTGAAGTTAGGGCTAGGTTTAGGTTTAGCATTGATTCTGGAATTTTACCACCTCAGCCATGCTTTGGGTATCAAGATGACATATATATGACATTGCTTAATATAGGAATCTTCACTTTATGAGTAGGTTTTAAATGTAACCTCTATGGGATTTCCTGTTATGCTAGCACAGAACTAACAGTGTCACACATTTGTTTTCCCATCCTGGGTTTTATACTATTTATCTACCAAAAACACAAAAAATTGAAGCCTATGAGAGATTTGGGTAAAATTCAGCCTGCTAGGCAGTTAGTTATCTATCCGATTGATCAATTAAGTTCTAATTGTTTGTAAATAAGTTTTAACAAAGCAGGGTTCTTACGTAGCCCATGTTTAGAACAGTGTCAGGCCATTTATTTAGTATGAAGCTGGCTGGTCCCATCTACACACTCGCTATGTGTGAATAACATAAAAGTTAAAGATAAACAGCAGAAGGGTTTTTAATAACTAGCCGCATTAATACTGAATTCATTTTTTCTGAGGTGGTGTTTAATATATTTTATGACTTTGAATGCATCTCAGCCAATCTGAACCAGGACTGTCAGTTTATAGAGGCAGATTATCTGCAGAACATGAGCGGCAATCTGCCAAACTAACTAAACACTGAACCAGAAGCAGCTATAAATGGAAAAAGCAGTGAAGTATAGGATTGTACCAACTTTGACTTTCTCCTCAGCCCCTATTACACTGGCACCATTCTGACACAGACTGAGTCACAAGACCATAACTTTTGTGCTAAACGCTCCAAAACAGCTTCACACTTTAGGTCCTTCTTTCAAAAAGAGCAGTTTTACCAGCTTCCTTATTCCGCAGCTCTGAAAAAGCCCAGTATGGTTCTATTAAACGGCTTAAATAGGAGCGTAAAAAGGAGAAGAACAGGGCTCTTCTGTTCCTGTAGACACACTGCCATTTTTAGCATCAGCATCACAGCATCACAACCCCGCCCACCTTAAAAGGGATAGTTTAGCCCAAACTCAAATGTGCACAGTTGTCCTTCTGTACCCCGAATGTAGTCGGTCAGTCAAGACCTGTTTGATGTCTGAGGTTTGCTTCTTTAGTTTTAGCCCTGGAGCTGCGAAGCTAATGTAGCTAACAGGTAATGAAAGCTAATATGTACCCCACCAGGTAGCATGGTATAGCACACTGTATGACACACTGTTACCTATAAATATAGACTAAAGTATTGACAAAGATGTTGACTTAGTATCTTTAAATAATGACTTATCTTTTGAAATATTTTTATTATCTCAGAAAAAAATACGTATTTCCTAAAAATACTGACCTTGTATCTCAAAATAACTGTATTTTCTCAAAATATTGACTTGGTCTCTTGCAGTAATGAATTTTTATACAAAAATAAATTATTTTCCAGAAATGTAGTTACTCACAGCACATTTTGAAGATAGGAAAATAGAAAAATAATAATTCTTTTGAGATATTGAGTGAATATTTAGAGAAAGTTATGATAGATTTTTGCTGAACTATCCTTTAAAGCCTGTCATAAAGAACGTTGCCCTCTCTCTCACCTTCAGTGTGGAAATGTGTTACTGAAAGAAAAGCTTTAGACTCTTGTTTTGAGACTTCCGCCAAACTGCCGAAGCTCCTTAAGCTCTTCAGTCAATCCGGCCTGATAAAAATAATTCTATTTTATGTAATCTCTGAATAAGGAAACTGAATTTCAGGTTGCTTTCACCTGTAAGTGCTACGAGGCCTGGAAGAGCTGAATGAGATTGAATAGCACTGTTGTGGTCCATGTGTGAAGGTAATATGAGTTTGATACGATTAGGCCCTCAGATTGTTTGTGTGTTTGTTTCCTTCTCCTTGGTGAAGCCATCTACTGTTTCTCATGTGTAAACCAAATAAGGAGCGTTTGAGTTAACCTGACTCTCACTCTTACTTTCTCCCTGTCTGTCTGTCTCTCTGCCCCACAGGCTTCACTGGTGTGAACCTCACTGGAGAGGACCCAGGTATCAAGCAGTGCAAGGTGGGCAGAATTACATGCAGTAGTTATTGTTAGTTGTACAGTTAGTTATTTGTGGGTTTCGTATGATGATGGTCTCAGAACAACACACATCATGATGATGATGATGGTCTCAGAGCATCACAAAATGCTGATGACCTCAGAACAACACACATGTGATGATGGTCTCAGAACAACACGTGATGATGATGGTCTCAGAACAACACATGATGATGATGATGGTCTCAGAACAACACACATAATGTTAATAATAGACTCAGAACAACACACTTGATGATGATGATGATGATGATGATGGTCTTAGAACAACACATAATGTTAATGATATACTCAGAACAACACACATGATGATGATGGTCTCAGAACAACACATAATGATGATGAAGATGATGGTCTTAGAACAAAACACATGATGATGATGGTCTCAGAACAACACACATAATGTTGATGATGGTCTCAGAGCATCACAAAATGCTGATGACCTCAGAACAACACACATGTGATGATGGTCTCAGAACAACACGTGATGATGATGGTCTCAGAACAACACATGATGATGATGATGGTCTCAGAACAACACACATAATGTTAATAATAGACTCAGAACAACACACTTGATGATGATGATGATGATGATGATGGTCTTAGAACAACACATAATGTTAATGATATACTCAGAACAACACACATGATGATGATGGTCTCAGAACAACACATAATGATGATGAAGATGATGGTCTTAGAACAAAACACATGATGATGATGGTCTCAGAACAACACACATAATGTTGATGATGATGGTCTCAGAACAACACACATAATGATGATGATGGTCTCAGAGCAACACATGATGATGATGATGGTCTCAGAACAACACACATAATGATGATGATGGTCTCAGAACAACACGTGATGATGATGATGATGATGGTCTCAGAACAACACACGTGATGATTATGGTCTCAGAACAACACATGATGATGATGGTCTCAGAACAACACGTGATGATGATGATGATGATGATGATGGTCTCAGAACAACACATGTGATGATGATGAAGATGATGGTCTCAGAACAACAAATTATGATGATGCTGGTCTCAGAATAACACATGATGATGAAGATGGTCTCAGAACGACACAAGTGATGATGATGATGATGATGATGGTCTCAGAACAACACGTGATGATGATGATGATGCTGGTCTCAGAACAACACACATGATGATGATGATGATGATGGTCTCAGAACAACACACATGATGATGATGGTCTCAGAACAACATGTGATGATGATGCTGGTCTCAGAACAACACACGTGATGATGATGATGGTCTCAGAACAACATGTGATGATGATGATGGTCTCAGAACAGCACATGATGATGATGATGGTCTCAGAACAACACATGATGATGGTCTCAGAACAACACGTGGTGATGATGATGATGATGATCTCAGAACAACATGTGATCATGATGGTCTCAGAACAACACATGATGATGATGACGATGGTCTCGGAGCAACACATGATGATGATGGTCTCAGAACAACACGTGATGATGATGATGATGATGATGTACTTTTTACTTTATTTTATCTTCTTTCTGTTAGATAGAGTTTCTGAGACAGAGATTAAGCCTAGTCCTAGACTACACTGGATTCTGAGATTTCCCATTGAAAGAAAAATGGATTATATTTGGTCCCACTTTATTTGGATAGCCCACTATAGACGCTTATGTTCCATTTAACTTACATTCAACTAAATATCTTAACCCTAGGTTCTAATACTAACTTCAGTCAACTGAGTTTCAACAGATAGTTTGTTAATAATTAGAACATCAGTAGATAATTTATTGGGGGCTGTCCAAATAAAATGGGACCAAATATAATCCATGACTAGGCTTAATCTCTGTTGAGTAATCCAGCCCAAAAACAGTCACAATTCATGTTTACTTGACTATTTCCAACCTGTCTTTATATTTTAGGATTAAATGAGTTATTTTTGTTTCTGTGCCTTTAAGACTGACATATGTAAATGAGCTGTGTTCTGATTGGATGCTCTGGATTGTGGCTTGTTCAAAAATCAATCCAGGCTAAACATCTATGAAAAAATGAATGAGTGTGAATGTCAGCAGGAAAGAGGGGCTAAAGTGCTATAAGCTGAATGGGAGATCATGTGTGAATGTGTTTGTTGTTGTGTCATTACCGGTTTTGCAGTGTAGTTATTAAATCATCGCTGTCCAAAGCAAAACATGTATCTCTATTTTTGTTGATTTTTTTCTACATTTGACCCCAGCAGCTGCGCTTTATATTGTGTGAAAAAATCATGATGAATGGACCAACAAAAATGTCCCATAATCACTTAAAAAGCCTCTTTACATTAACTTACATTACAAGAACATTACAAAGTTATTATTTTGGAGATACATATTTTTCTTTGGACAGCTATACAGAGATCAGCCATCAACATTATGACCACCTCCTTGTTTCTACGCTCATTGTCCATTTTATCAGCTCCACTTACTATATAGGGTCACTTTGTAGTTCTACAGTTACAGACTGTAGTCCATCTGTTTCTCTGCATACTTTGTTAGCCCCCTCTTACCCTGTTCTTCAGTGGTCAGGACCCCCATGGACCCTCACAGAGCAGGTAGTATTTGGGTGGTGGGTCATTCTCAGCACTGCAGTAACACTGACGTGGTGGTGGTGTGTTAGTGTGTGTTGTGCTGGTCTGAGTGGATCAGACACAGCAGTGCTGCCGGAGTTTTTAAACACCTCAGTGTCACTGCTGGACTGAGAATAGTCCACCAACCAAAAACATCCAGCCAACAGTGTCCTGTGGGCAGCGTCCTGTGACCACTGATGAAGGACTAGAGGATGACCACAAACTGTGCAGCAGCAGATGAGCTATCATCTCTGACTTTACATCTACAAGGTGGACTGACAAGGTAGGAGTGTCTAATAGAGTGGACAGAGAGTGGACACAGTGTTTAAAAACTCCAGCAGCACTGCTGTGTCTGATCCACTCAGACCAGCACAACACACACTAACACACCACCACCACGTCAGTGTTACTGCAGTGCTGAGAATGATCCACCACCCAAATACTACCTGCTCTGTGAGGGTCCATGGGGGTCCTGACCACTGAAGAACAGGGTAAGAGGGGGCTAACAAAGTATGCAGAGAAACAGATGGACTACAGTCTGTAACTGTAGAACTACAAAGTGCACCTATATAGTAAGTGGAGCTGATAAAATGGACAATGAGTGTAGAAACAAGGAGGTGGTCATAATGTTATGTCTGATCAGCGTATGTGAACCGTAGATGCTGGGAAGTGAACGTTTTGAAGCTTTAGCAATGTTTAAATAGTATGTCATACTTTTTTATCAAACCCTGTTTGATCTCAGTGACCTTTTTTCCTGCTCTCTTGGCGCTGACAGATATCGAGGAGTCCGTGAGCGACGTGAGAATGACGTTTAGGCCCTGATCCGCAGCAGTATGTCAGGTAAGCGATCCGTCAGCTCCCCATCTGTGCCAGAGGTTCTCTATCAGGTTCTCAGGGACCCTAAGCTGGGCCACAGTTTTGTTCTGTCCAATATTCTGAGCCAGGAAATTAACATTTAAACCTTGAAATCTAGAGTTATTATTGTCGTTTTACTATGTCTAATGCACATTGCATAGTTATTTGCGTATGCAGTTAATTAATATGTAATTACATAATACATAATTAGGTAATTAATTACTGTGCAATTACAGTGTTGTGCAAAAGTCAGAGTCACCCTTCATTAATTTCCAGTCAAAACAGCCATTAAGGACAAGTTATTTGTCACAATATGCTTCTGAGATTAGATGTAAGATAATCCACTTGCATAAAGAAAATAGCAACTTAAAGTGAAAAACAGTTTCCAAAACTGGAGAAAATAAGACCCCTAACAACCACCTGGAAGAGCTGGTAGACACCAAAACTGCCCCCATCAGATAAACAGCACTTAAAGCTTTCATCTCTGAGAGAGAGGAGAAAATCAAGCTGCTTCAGATCTGAAAACATCCACAGGTGTTTCTGTCCATCCTTCCACTGTGAGAAGACGACTCAGCGCTGTGGATCTGAAAGGATGTGTAGCTGTCAAGAAGAACCTCACTGAGAAAAGGAGACGGACACATCAAACAAAGAAGCTGAACGATGGACTGACCACCCCAGAGTCCAGACCTCAACACCACTGAATGTTTGATTACTGCAGAAAATGATCAACCAGCTTCTAAGACTGAACTTGTGTGGAAAATCTTTCCTACAGATTTCTAAAAAGTATCTTCTGGGAACAGTGTAAACTGTAAAAAAAGGTGGACATGAATACTGAAAAATGTGATATCATATTTAGTATTTAATGGCTGTTTTGACTGGAAATGAAATAAATGGTGTTCACTGACTCAGTTTTGTACATTTACATTCAATTTTAATTTTTAATTGATAGGATTGAGTCTACTTTTCTGACCTGCTTCTGTGTGTTTATTGACAAAATCATGGCAAAAATGTAAAATATATTTTTCGTTTCGCTAAACAAGACTGTACACATAACAATAGCTTTTCATTAAATTCAATTCATAACAAAATATCTCCTCTTCTACTTACAAACGCAAATGTGGTGTGGATTGAAAGTTTCGATTCTGCACTTTCCACTTCTCTGCTTATGTTAATAATGTTAATGTTAATGAGAAATGAGAGGCGTTTCAAGGCATAAACACCATGAGGGACCTGGTAGGGTTAACTGGCCTTGACGCTCTGAATCAGGAGCATTGTAAATGGGATAGAACAGAAATGTGGACTTGGCTCAGGGTCTCTGAAGACTGGATTAAGGATCTCTGATCTCACCAGGAGAGCACTGACTCAAACATATGTTCACAGACATTAAAGGGGAATTCCACTGATGTTTAAAAAAAAATCGAAATTATTCAGTGGTTGAGATGTAAACAGACTTATTCTGAGTGGTTTGGTATGAAATGCTCCTTTGTCGAGAAACTTACCAGATCAGATTTTTTTATAATATATATAAATATAGCCACTTTATTTACCAACCCAATTCCAAAAAAAGTTGAAACAGTAGGTAAGATGCAAATAAAATCAGAAAGCAGTGATTTATATACTCTCTTTTACTGGTATTTAACTGAAAACATCACAAAGAAGAGATTAATATTTTACCTTATCAACTTTATTGATTTTTGTAACTGCATACTAATTGCAAATTTGATGCCTGTGACACATCACATCAAATTCAAGTTAAGACACCAAGCAGAAGCCATATATCAACAACATCCAGAAACACCGCCGACTTCTCTGGGCTAAAGCTTATCTGAGATATACTGACACAAAGTGGAAACGTGTGCTGTGGTCAAATAAGTCCACCTTGCAGATTGTTTTTTTGGAAATAATGGACGTCCTGTTCTCCAGTGCAAAAAGGGAAAAGGACCATCCCAATTGTTACCAGCATAAAATTGAAAAGCCAGCGTCTGTCATTGTATGCAGGTGTGTTAGTCTTAGTGATAGTGACTTGCACATCCGTGAAGCTTCCATTAATGCTGAGGGGTACTTACACATTTTGGAGCAACATCTAGATGACGTCATTTTCAAGGATGTCCCTGCAAGGACGTCCTTTTTTCAAGGATGTCTTGTTTCAGCAAGACGAGGCCAAACGACACTCCACATGCGTTCAGCAGTGTGGTTTGGTAGCAGTGTTAAAGGAAAGGTGATTTAACACAGTGGTAAACATGCTCCTGTCAACAGTTCTGAGTTGGTAAGTTTCTCTAGAACAGAGATTTTCACATCTAACCACTCTGGTTGACTTTGTTTACATCTTAACCATTTAATTATGCAGACATTGCAACAGTTTGGTGGAATTCCCCTTTAACACTTCAGTAGTAAGCATGCATTTAATGCTTAATAGCTTTCCACACATGATGTAAGCGAAACCTTGTAAATAGAGCCGTCATTGTCCACTGGCAGTACCGCAGTGACTGGTGGGCTTCATTAGGCTGCTTTGATGATGCCACATCTATCAGCTACTTTCGCTCTTCTGACTTCTCAGTATTTCTCCTTTGGGTCTTTATCTGCTTTTGGCATTTAATCTTGAATTTCAGAGCTAAATTTCATGCTTAAGTGCGGTTAGAGTATCATCTCTTTTATAGAGACACATGCTTGGTGGCGTAGCCGTGGCTTTGGAGGCCATTTTTGTTCTCTTGTTCTGGATAATTGCAGGCTAGGAAAGTATTTTGGGTCAGGTTTTGTGCTCACTGACTGAAATCAAGGGGTAATTCATACACAAACGCATTTGACTTCATTTTAAGAACTGTACAAAATGCTTGTCTAGCAATTAAGATTCATTCATATTTTATGAACAGATTTTTACATTTTTAATATTGACCAAAGAAAATCTTATAAATTATGCAGCATATAGATTCAGTTTTTTCTATTATATTGAAAAGAGGGCCGAGTTTCATTGAGACATAAGAAATGGTGAAATATTGATGCACTACATTTATACACGTGTTGATTAAAAGCAATTTTGTGTGGTAAAAGGGGAAGTCCACCAATATCATGGAATTTCTGCATAAAAATCCACAGTGGTAGTGATAGGTACCAGGGGTCACAACAGCTATTCCAAATATAGCCACTTTATTTACCAACCCAATTCCAAAAAAAGCTGGAACAGTGGGTAAAATGCAAATAAAATCAGAAAGAAGTCATTTATATACTCTCTTTACAGGTATTTAACTGAAAACAACTATTTCATATTTTACCTTATCAACTTCATTGAATTTTGTAAATATACGCTAATTGCAAATTTGATGCCAAATTCAAGTTAAGACACTGCTACACCAAGCGGAAGCTATATATTGACAACATCCAGAAACACCGCCGAGTTCTCTGGGCTAAAGCTCATAATTATGTGGTTGAGAATGTAAACAAAGTCATTCAGAGCGGTTTGATGTTCACAGTGGTGGTGATAGGAACCAGACTTCCACCTTTGAAAGCTCCATCATGGAAGGTTATTACGTGAAATGATTGTGAATTCACTGCTGAAGTGTTAAAACTTCAAATCATTTTTATTTTACAAACCAATGTATTTCAGTTTTTAATGTAATTACTGTTTAAAGTGGTAGATGGGAAAAAAAAAATGAATTCACATATAAAAGCTCAGAAGCTTCAGCTCTGTCTCACAGGCCTCACGGGCGAAGAGATCAATGCTTCTGGGTGCCATTCAGAGCGGCCGCCGCCCTCTGATACAAAAGCATGTTTAAACTCAGTAAATAGGTTCCTTGCTTCCGTCCCTCCTCAGTGAGGAACCCGACTGAAATGCTGAGGAAGTAAACACAGGCTCTTCTCATCCTTAGACAAGCTCTGCAGGTTCCATCAAAACCTGGATCTGTCTTAGTAACACTCTTAAAACAAAGAAGGGTTCTTTAGTAAAGACAGTGGTTCTGTGTAGATCCGTGAACACTTTGCAGGCTTAAATGGTTCTCTGCATGGTGAAAACAAGCTTGACATCATAACAATAGCAGAACCCTTTTTGGTGCTATACAGAACCATTTTCAAGAAGGTTCTATATAGTCTGCATATGTCATAATTCATTTCTACATAACCATTTTCCAGCCTCTCTTTATACCTTAGAATCAATCAGTCTGTTTTTCTGACTGTGCCTTTAAGAATGCATTCTGATTGGCTGCCTCATTCATAAAGCAGTCCAGGCTGAAACACTCCTTATAACTTCATCATCAGTGGGCGGGGCCAACAAAACTCTGACCGTCATCAACATTACATATAAAGCTCAGAAGACTCGTGTAGGGTCACTGGTGGTCTTGGATAGTAAATAAAATGTCAATGTTTGTGTTGTAGTCATGGCGACCCCTGGTTCCTATCACCACCACTGTAAAGAGATCTGAACCATTTCACACCAAACCACTCTGAATGACTATTTATACCACAGCAGTGCAGACATTTTGAAAAAAAAGTGGAGTTTCCCTTTAACACATCTCTTTTAAAGTTCAGTTCGAATGACTTTTTTACTATCTTATTATTTAGGAGGCAATTTTGCCCCTATATTTAAGACAAAGTGTTAAATATGGGTGTATTTACACTGTTTTCCCTGTTGTTTCTGAGGCTGGATGGCTGCATTGTGTCTGAATCTTCTTATAAACAGTGATTCTGATTACATGATCTGGAACTGTGTGTAATATGATGAGGTTAGAGCTCAATGATAACTATGACTGTCAAATGAAGTGAATAGAAACCAGCCTCTCCTTTGCCACATGCTGCCCTCTCTCTCTCTCTCTCTCTCTCTCTCCTCATCTCTCTCTTTCTCTCTCTCTCCTCTCTCTCCTCATCTCTCTCTTTCTCTCTCTCCTCTCTCTCCTCATCTCTCTCTCTCTTTCTTCTCTCCCTGCTTTCTCTCTCTCCTCACCTCTCTCTGTCTCTTCTTTCTCTCCTCTCTCTATCTTCTCATCTATCTCTCTAGCATTTTTCTCTCTCTCTTCTCTCTATGCTTTTCCTGTCTCCTCATCTCTCTCACTTGCTCTCTCTCTGTCTCCCTCTCTATTTTTCTCTCTGTTTTTCTCGTCTCTCTCTCTCTCTCTATTTTTCTCTCTGTCTTCACTCTTTTCTCTCTGATCTCTCTATCTTCTCATCTGTTTCTCTCTATTTTTCTCTCTCTCTTTCTCTGCTCTCTCTATCTCCTCATCCCTCTCTCTTTCTCTCTCTCTCTCTCTCTTTCTCTTTCTCTCTCTGCACTTCAGTGTAATGAAGTACATTGTGCCTCTCCCATTTGTTGTAGAGCGAGCAGACAAATGCGCCCCCCGCTGGAAACACGAGGCCATGCAGAATGGTACAGTAACTCTACTCCCTCCCTCCCCCTTCTCTCCTTCCCTCCCTCCCTCTCTCTCTTCTCCTCAGGGTGGGGCGACTCTCGCTCTCTCGCTCTCTTTTGTGCTCTCTCTCTCTCTCTCTCTCTTTCCTTTCCATCTCTCCGTCTCTCCTTCTGGAGTGTCTATCACGCTAGACAGTTTATGAGGGGAAAAAAGGGCCTGTCACTGCGGAGAGGGAGCCACAGCGAGACAGTCATAAAGTCTGTCCCTCAGAGGGCTGGAAAGGCAGTGAAATCGCTGCAGTCAGAGTCAGTATTAGTCTGGCCTCGGTGGCCTATAATGCACCTATGTTCAGCGAGGCCTTAAAGCCAGAGTTGGCCAAAAAATAAAATGTACTCAATCTTCCCGTCATCCCAAACACAGTCGATCAGCCAAGATGTGTTTGGAGTCTGAAGTTTGCTTCTTTAGTTTAGCGCTGGACCTACGTGGCTAATGTAGCTAACAAACACTAGACGTCAATAGTCACCCAAATCTTTTTAGAATCTTCAGAAACAGAGGAAACCTCAGATGTCATGTAGAGTCTATATGCCCGTGTGATGTGCATGCACGTAAAGGTGAGTCTGATTCTGCACACCTGCTGTCCTACATGGCTGCCCACTGTTCAGCTACACGGTTAGAGTTGTTCGTGTTTATAGCTCACAGTAATACATACTGAGTGAATTCACATGGTCATATAAACAGCACACTCCAATTTCTTAGATCAGAGTAAGGTCTAGAAATCTGATAAAGAGAGCTGGATTTTAGCTCAGCAATCAGATTTCTCAGTGCATGTAAACTCTTATTCTGATTTCTTTCCAATTTCTCAGTCTGCACATGTGCGAAAACAGACAGAGGTACCGTAAATAAGCGAGCAGCATTAGCAGCAAAACACTTTTGGAGTGACGCTAAAACCGGCTACATGTTCGACAAAATGAAGGATTTAAATATTCTTCATCTTCTAGATGATGTAAGTTCATATTTTTAGGTAAAGTCGTGCGGTGTTTAAAGAAAACGCGGCATGAAGTTTGAGTTTTATATTACGTTTACATCACGTCTTTTTCTGTGAGTTTATTGGGTGGATGCAAAACAGAAACCTGATTACTGTCTGACTCATGTAGACCTGGAGTTTCCCCATCATCTGATTACTCAAGTGCATTTAAACGCGTTGATGGAATTACTGGCAAAATCTGATTTTCTGCAGTTATCGGATTATTAAATGCATGTAAACAAACTCATTGCAGCATCTCCTCCTTTTAATGGAGGACCAACAAAAGCAAATTTCCAGATCAGTAGAATTGCAGGTGTAGCTAATGAAGGATTAAAATTTAAGCTGCAGTAACATCAGCTGCTAACTTTAAAAACAAGGTATCTGGATTATCTGGTCCTGCTGATTTATTTGGGTCTAAAAGTTGAAGAGCTTTAAACACTTCAGAACTAGAAATCTGTTTAAAACTCTAGGAATTTTAACTAAAATAAAACTTTAAATAAAACTCCAGACAAATTTGCTCTATGGTCTAATTTCTAGGATCTAAAGATCTAATAAATCAATTAATTTTCCAGAATTTCCAAGAATTGTTAAGATTAACTGTAATTTCAGAAAGATGATAATTAGCTTTAGCTTCTAATTGCAACTGTGCACTTATTTCGTAATTGCATAAAACTCAGCCAGTCCCATAAATGACCAGTATGTCTTGCTTTCACCTGAGCCACATCACACTAATGTACAAGACCAACTAGATCTGAGTTAAACCAGGATTTTCACAAACTTTAACTCTACGTATGAGAACGTTGCTTGTACCCATGTGGAGTTGTTCAGGAATTTCTAATAGCCTTGATTATGTGGTGTCTGACACTGTATGACACACTGTTATCTATAAACATGAACGAAAATACAGACAGAATTCAACCTCAAAGAAGGCTGCCAATGTTTTAGCGATGCTACGTACTTTTTTTAGATCACAGGATGTCATGAAGTGTGAAAAACCACATTAGCAAGTCGGCACGGTTTGAAGCAACTGTGATGATGCAATCATGCTGTTAGCGCCACGCTAACTTGGTGGGGTGTAAGATTGTACTACTTGTTAGCTACATTAGCCTGCTAAAACTAAAGAAGCACATTTCAGACACCAAACAGGTCTTGGATCAACTACATTTGGGATAAGTGGGGGCGGGGTTAGTGGGATTTTTGATTGATCTTTTGTTTTAAATGCATCGATGGATAATGTTCAAAGTTCTAAACACTAAGAGAGGCTTTTAACATCAAATGTTCTAGACAACTTCAAGCCCACACCCTCTTATTTCCTTAAACTTCTTCATTACTCAGCTGTTAGCTTCTTATTCCGGCTGCTTCCCAGGCAATCAGCACTCAGTGCAGCGGGAAATGAGTGACTGGTGTGGTTTCATTAAAGAGAGCTTTCATCGCCGACGCTCTTAAAAACAGTGCCAGAGAGAGAGAGAGAGAGAGACAGAAAGAGAGAGAGACAGAGAGAGACAGAAGAATCAAATATAGTACTGTGCAAAAGTCTTAGGCACCCAATCACTTTATTTAAAGCCAGTTATCTCAGCAATAATTGTATTTTTGCTTGTAAAGCTCCGTACATCATTAGATTAGATATAAATATTATAAAAAAAATATGAAAAATATGTAAATTAAAAAAAAAAACAATATCTTTTAAGCTAGACCGAAGTACAAAGTTTGGTTCTAGATTTATTTGTTATGTTCCATCACCAGCACACCTGATTTAGGGGGCCCATATTATGGAAAATGCTTTTTTGAGAAATAAGAGTTTGATGCAGTATATAAACACTGCTAAAGCTTCAAAACAGGTTGTTCGCTCCTCAGTTCATACAGTCCAAATATGGAAAATAAGCTGCAAAAACAGCCCGTTTTTCGCTGTTTTCATGATGTAATGAAAAAACAGACCATTTATATCGGCCTCTTCGGCCTACAGTACTTTAGCCCCGCCCACTCACACTGAAGTTATAAGGAGTGTTTCAGCCCGCACTACTTCTTGAATGAGACTCTATACAGGGCTGCCAGTCAGAACAGAGCTCATTTATACACACACATATATATATATATATATATATATATATATATATATATATATATATATAAATGAGCTCTGTTCTGACTATATATAATAATGCAAGAAAAATGTATGATACTGGCCCAAGTGTGGACTAGCCGAACTGGATGATGCCTACAAACAATACTGTACCTCCATAGAAGAGGTTTGTAAAGGGTTAAACACATTGACACGCATAAAATCAGTTTTTTTTGTTAATATTATTCGGATGTATTGTAACCAGATAAATCTAATTTAGACTTTTCAAATCACATCAGGTGCCTAAAACTTTTGCACAGAACTGCATATTTAAGCCCTAATCTTTCCTCATAAACGCATGACAGAGAGGTGAGATCACCCTTTTTCACTGTTTTGCTCCTCTGACTAATCAGCAGTGCATGCATTATTGGGAATAAAGCGGCTTGTTGTTAATGCTGTGCTTTCAGCTTCGTATGACTAAGCATTTGCCGAGCGGCGCGTTACTGAACAGCGCGCCAGGAGTTGTTACTTATTTCCGAAGGGCAGCTTTGCACGTGTCTGGAAATCATTATGATTTTATGGATGAGGAACCCAGTGACCTTTCCTGATGTTTAGAGCACTGTTGGTAATCCGACTCTAGGGGGTGCTAAAAACACATTACTGATTGACACTGCTGATAGCAGATGGCTGATGGCTTTGACTTGAGCTCAGGTGATGAGTGTGTAGTGAATGGACACTCTTGGCAAAGAAGCAGGGGTTTTCTTCTGGCCTAAGAAGGTTGCGTTTACTAATTATTGCAATAAATATTTCAGATTTGTGACAATATAATATTAACTCATACAGTTATAGTTATATTATATAATGATATATACACCAACCAGCCCCTTCATTAAATCACCTGCTTGTTTCTACATTCATTGTCCGCTTTATCAGCTCAACTGACCATATAGGAGCACTTTAATAGTTCTACAGTTACAGACTGTAGTCCATCTGTTTCTCTGCATACTTTGTTAGCCCCCTTTTACCCTGTTCTTCAGTGGTCAGGACCCCCATGGACCCCCACAGAGCAGGTATTATTTGGGTGGTGGGTCATTCTCAGCACTGCAGTAACACTGACGTGGTGGTGGTGTGTTAGCATGTGTTGTGCTGGTACGAGTGGATCAGACACAGCAGTGCTGCTGGAGTTTTTAAACACTGTGTCCACTCACTGTCCACTCTATTAGACACTCCTACCTTGTCAGTCCACGTTGTAGATGTGAAGTCAGAGATGATAGCTCATCTGCTGCTGCACAGTTTGTGTTGGTCATCAGTAGTGACAGTTTCGGTGACAGTTTTAGCTCATTTTGAGCAGAACTCAAAAACACAGCCAGTACATGACCAGCAAACCCAACTTTGAACAGCTGTTCACACATAAAATCATCATATTTTTTAATTAAAACACAAAAAAGTACCTAATTGCAGAAAATATGTGACAATTCTTAATGTTCCACACCGATTTACAGACTTTGGGACACATTTACTTCAAAACTATGGGATCTAACTGCTCACCATGTGGCCATGAGGGACAGGGATGCAGCCTCACTTCCTGCTCTAAAATGCAGGGGCGTGGCCAAAATAAGGCTCCACCCTCAGCCTAAAACCCTTTGTGTTTTGGTAGTGACATGAATACGTAGGAAAGTTTTTTCTTTTTTTTAATCAAGTTTTCTATTAAAATGATGAATCTAAATCTTTCAACTTCACTTTAAAATGAATAAAAAAACTTTAAAACATTGAAAAGAAATACAAAAAAATACCTATAGACCAAAACACAATGTTTCCATAGAGACATGAAAAAGGCCTTTTTTTTAAATAATGTTTCTTTTTATTCAACTTAATTTTAATTTTAATTTCTTTTAATTCAAAGTAAACTTATGATGATTCTAAATGTTTCAGAT